TCCATTTATTCCCGATAAAGGGCTATATCCATCTTCCAGACATAAAATGTACAATAATTCCATTCTCTTCCTTGGTTCTTGTTCTAAACTTTTTTTTTAAATGTGACCATCTGTCATTCACAGAGTTTTCAGGTCTATATTTGGAGATAATTTTATAGTTCATGGTTTTCTATTCTATTAGCTAGCAAGTACGTTGTTTCAAGGCAGTGATAGATCAATTTATATTAGATTTTATATTAACTCCAGTAGTGTGCTTTATTATTGTAAAATTTAATATGATTTTTTGAATGTGAGTTCTGCCTGAATAACAAACATTACAGAATGCATCCGAACAATAAAATACCAGAAAGCAAGAATTATTTAAAAATAATGTTTCATATATAAATTAATATTTTGAGACAGTCTCTAAACAAATTGATCCTCACCTGAATGTTTGGAAAATATATTTGGGGAAATATTCCAGGGAACGTGACTTGAACTACAATTGACAATGAGCGTTTATAATAGGAAATCTTATTTGTGACCAACTTTACCAAAAGCATTGTGTGTAACCCTCACTGGGATTTTTCCCAGCCATGAACTAATGTAATGGGAGAGCTAACTTTCTACCATTGAATGTCAGCAAGACCCGGGTCTCCTGATTGGCTCCTGTCAGCGCATCCACACATCAGGCATTGACAGCATCACAATCCAAGGATTCACACCGAGTCACCGAGTCAGTCCAGAACCTTGGCTTCTTGTTTGATCATCAACAATCCTTTCTCCCCCATATCCGTGCCATAACCCGCTCTGCCTCTCCCCACCTCTGCAACATCACCCGGTTCTGCCACTGCCTCTCTCCTCAGGCTGTCGAAACCCTCATTCACCTGTTCATCACATCTAGGCTCACAAATCCATGCTGTCGGCCTTCACAACTCTTCCTTTAACAAACTGCAGATCATCCAGAACTCTGCAGCTCGTGTCCTCTCCTGCACCAGGCTCTGTGAGCATGTCACCCAATCCTCGTCCAGCTCCACTGGCTCCCCATTCCCCAGAGGAGAGAGTTCAAAATCCTCGTCCTTGCCTTCAAGGCCCTCCATGATCTTGCCCCTTCCTACCTCAGTGACCTGCTTACCCCTTATCAACCTGTCCGCTCTCTTCGCTCAGCAGGCTCGGGCCTGCTCCACATCCGCCACCCAGCCCTCTCCACTATCGGTGGACGTGCCTTCAGCCTCTCCGCCCCCACCCTTTGGTACTCCATCCCACGTTCCCTTCACCTTACTCCCTTGCTTCTTTTAAGGCACGTCTCAAGACCATCCTCTTCGACAGTGCCTTCGATCACCCTTCTACCCTCCCTGCCCTCCACCCTCCCTTACCCCAATCCCTTCCCCCCCCCCTTGGGTCCAAATCGCTGACTGTCCAGCGCCTTGGGACCTCCTCTCAATATGAAAGGCGTAAACAAATGTAATTTTATATTGTATAGTTTAGCATTTTGGGGTTACTGGAGATCATTGATTGTGCTATTTTTATTTGTAAACTTAGTTCCCAAGTTATGAGTTTCTTTGGAATGTGACGCAATCCATTCTATTTAATACAATAATAATCCTTGCATTTGATATAGTGCTTTAAAATGCTTCACAGAAGTTACTGTGAATTTCAATGATTGTATTTGTAGGCAATACAATTTGCACACATCAAGGTCCCGCAAATAACCATTAGCAAATGATCATTTATTTTTATCTGGGTGAATTGTTTGTCAGGAAACCAGGAGTAACTCCCTTCTCTTTTCCAAAAGTTCCATGGGGTCTTTAACGTTTAGCTGGGGATCTGCACTGGAGTGTCAGCCTTCTTGTCCACTGAGGATAACAGCTAAATTGTGTTCTGCCAGATTACTGAGTGCAATGTCATGTGGTGATGATTCCACAGGTTCTATGTTTTAACTCTTCTTCAGCTGCTGCACTTCAACCATAGTCAGGCTCAAGTGACATTATAATGGTTTTCCAATATGCATTAGTTCTCTGTGTGGTGAGCAGGTTGTTTCTGATTTATAGCTTTACAATTGGCTTTCACTGCAGCTGAAGATTAGGTAAGGAAAGTTCAAGAAACAATTCAACTTCGATCACACAATCAGCACACCCAGAGGCTGATCCTCAGAATATGTGGATCATTTGTTTCCGTGCCCCTGTATGAACTTTAAACTGAAGGAATACAGATTAAGGACAGAACAACAAATGGATGGAATCGAAGAAGGCACATCAGTAAAAAGACATGTCACCATCACGGGCCACACCGTGAAAACAGGCCCGGGTTTGTTATGGGCAAGTTTAGGATATAGGGATTGGATCTATCTTGTAGTGAGAATGAAGGAATGGTGGCGATGCCTAAGTACTTGGTATACTGAAAATGGGACTGCAGGGAGCAGCACAGGAGAGTGTGAAAGAGCAACTACGCGAGCTAAATGTTTGTGGGACACTGCTGTAACACAATTGGCTGCTGGGTTTTGCCTACAAAACACACAGTCACTACACTTTACAGTATATTCTGTGAAGCGCTTTTAGACATCTCGACAACGTGATAATGTGCTATATTTAATGCAAGGATTATTATTATGGGAAACTGTATTTAATGGTTAATAAGGATTAAAGTAGAAAAGCCACCAGTTATACCACCAGAATATTGAAGGAGGCTGGGAGAAGATGCATTGGAATGCACTACCTGAAAGGGTGATGGAAACAGATTCAATAATAACTTTCAAAAGGGAATTTGATGGATACTTGAAAAGGAAACATTTGCAGTGCTATGGGGAAAGAGGATTTTAAGATAGAAGATGGACTGGTCACAACCTTCCAAAATTATGTCAAAGGATTGAACGATGTTAAGTGTTACACTCCAGTCCAAAAATAGGGAAAAGGGATAATACGGGGAATGATAGGCCAGTCAAGATCTGGACATATAAAGCATAATCTTGAGATTCAGATGTGCTATGCATTGTTTGAACTGGATAGATATCATGGCTAGTGGGCAGAAGTAGTACACATGAAATTAACCCGGAAAGGAAACTGTGAAGATGATCGTTTCGCACAAGGTTTGAAATTCAGAGAAAGGAGAGAATATTTATCTTTATTCCCTTTATCAGTTACCACTGAACACTGGAAACTTTATGCATATTTTATGAAGCCTTACACAGGATTGCAGTTAAAAATGTATCTGACCATGGTTAAAGAAAATGCATATAAATATTTAATTTTTTGTTAAATATACATTTCTGTAGGAGAATGTACTTCTGTTACAGAAAATGGTGTATATTCACTCTAAGAATTAGTGCCCACAGATAAAATAAAATAGTAAATTATACTACTTCCTAAAGTATTTTTAAAAGACACACACTCCATCTATTTATTATTCACCGATAACCATTGAACAATAACTACTGTACCTTTTATTTAATACTTCTGTTTCAAGTTTCTCATAAACGTATGATGGTCTGCAGACCTATCTTCAATCTGTTTTAAGTACTCTGATATGTTAGTCTTCTACTTCTATTTTTGTGCAAAAGCTTTTGATCTCATCCGGAGGTATTTTTGATAACTAAATGGGCAGGTTAGGGATGTTTTGAAATATATTGACTATCACCTTGGGATACATTGGTGTATTTCAAACAGCAACCGAATGTTCCAAAAGGTTTGATAGTTAAATAGTTAAAAGGAACTTTGCTGGACAGGCTGAGGTTAGTATCGGATTACATTTCATATTTTCCTGGGAAGATGTTCATTCCTCTGAGATAATGAGCAATCAAGTCCTTGAGTTTAGTTGTAAGAACAATGAACACAGAAAGAAAAGGCTGCAGCCTCGGACACCTGCCTATCTCAAGGCTGAGAAACAAACAGCTGTGGAAGGCTGCCCAGAAGTTGTCCATATCTCTCTTGGTGCAAAGCAGCCTGTGAAGGGTGGGGGCTATATCTGTGACAAGGGGAGGTGGAGTTAGAAACACATAAAAGATGTAACTTTGGAATAGTTGGAGTTGTGTAGAGGATCAGCGCACTTCCCAGTGGAATCGATATCGATTCTACTGTACCTATGGTTACGTACAGGGGTGAGGAAATTTACCTCCAGTAAGAAAATGACCAATAAAAGTGAAAGAGGAGTAGTGGTCGGTAGCACGAGTGAGGTGTTGGGTTAAGAGCTGATTGTTTCTGTTGAGTTACAGAAGCCACTCTCTGTGATTGTGTGTGATAGTTCTGTATTCTCTCGAGTGTATGTCAAGGTGTGATCCCAGGTCTATTTTTTCGTTTGGAGTTCAAGACAGTGCCTGGATACATGTTGTCGTCCCTGTGTCGTCAGTACTACTGTTGTTGTGTATGACTGGTTGGGTCCGAGGGTTTACCGGACGCCAGTCCCTGTTTAGTGTTGGAATTACGAGAATCAGTTGTCCCTGAGGGATTTCCAAAGGCTGATCTCTGCTGTGTATTTTAAGGGGTGTTGTTCATCTGGATTACTGAGCAACCCCTTAGTGCATGTTGTGGAGAGGTTATTGTTATTGTGTTGTTATATGTAGTATAATTTGATTACAGATTGTTAAAACATGTTTCGTTTTATGTAATAAATACTATACCCTTACCACCACCTGTCGAATTATTAACAAATTGAACTTTACCGTTTGTCATATATATATTTGATATTAGTGGAATAAACACTTCACTCTTACTACCCTCTGTCCAATTATTAATAGATGTACTACATTAACATGCATCACACTGGTTAAATTGCAGCAGCTTAGCAGTTCTGTTTCTAATGTTCAGTAGGCACACAAACAATAACTCTGTAAACTAGGGCTTAAAAGTAAACTCACAGTACCAACCATTGGGCAGACAGCATGTTTCGTAACCAAAAAAACTAAAAGTAACTGAAAACTGTTCTTTGTAAGCAGGAACCCAATACAGATTTGATACTAGCAGTATTGCATGTCCAATTTCTCCTTCTTGATTCTAACACTTTTGTTGAAGCATTTCTTATCTGCTTACCTTCAGGATCCAGCAGCTTATCAATACCCAGGTGTTCTTTGGCTACAGTGAAGGCATGATCCAGTCGTTCGGTTACAGACTGTTGCTGAGCCACATTCTTCCAGTCAAAGAGGTCAGGCCTGCAAGAGAGAGGAGGCAAATTATAAAGTCAGTTGTAGCTCTCTCTGGATTCAAATCAATTCCACTTTAAATCACTAATTAATAATGCAAGTCAAAGGGGCTATTGCCTCAGGGAATACATGTAGTAGCTTTCTGAGAGTTCCGAGTCACTCATTCTAAAAGACCACAATAAACCTGTGCCACCATGTCAGAGGTGGAGTGGTGGTTTTGGTCAATAGTTAGAGCCAATGTCATACGAGGAAGAGTTTTTTATTTTGCGTTGGTTAAAAACGTAAATTTCCTATTCCTCTTTGTAACTAACCTGCATTAGACACCGTGAGCAGCACATTTGCGAGCTTTACTCACTAACCAGCTGTAGAAAGTGAGCAGAAACAAACTAAAATGGTAACCATGACGTCAATCAATAACAAAACACGGTACATCTCATGGCATATGTTTGAATAGTACCAGCATGGTTTGCAGAATTGATAATTTATGTACATATCTTCTTCAACTATCTTCAACTATCAATAGTGTCTTGCATTATGTGGAACTGCCTGGGTCATTTGGGAAACAGACTGGCTCATTTGGTAGAATTCTGCCTCTGGGTCAGAAGATTGTGGGTTAAAGCCCCATGTTGGAACTTTGAACAAAGGCTGTGCAGTGCTGAGGGTGTGCATCATTGTCAGAGGTGCTGGCCTTCAGAGGAGATGTAAAACTGAGGTCACAGCTGTCTACTCAACTGGTTGTTAATGATCCCATTGCATTATAAGACAGGAAAGGGAGTTTCTCTAGTGTCCTTAGCAACAATCTCCAAAATAAAGAGGTGATTGTAACCAGAATCTACGAAGACAACATCAGACCAACATTAATATCAGATCAACATTAATATAAACCATACCATGAGAGGATGCTAACTTTTATTCCTGCCAACTAAAATAAACCGTTGATGTGTTTGTTGTAATAATGTTTCAGTACAGGAGGAGCCACTCAGCCATTCACCTTTTTCAATGTCAAATTATGTCAATAACAAATATTCTGACAATATTTATCTGGAGGGGAAGGTAAGCAGTGTACCCGTGGGATGAACTGGCTTCAAGCAGGTCCTCCTCACAAAGCTAAACAATTAAATAGCAATCCTTGATATGACGCTCATCATTTCAAAATGTCTCAAAATCCATCAGAAGCTTTGGCTGTAAAGTATAGTGACTGTGTATTTTAGGTGAATGAAATAGCCAATTTGAGCAAAGCAATGTCCCACAAACGGCCACAAAGTACATTAATGTTTTTATCTGACAGATTGCTGTCCGGGACACCAGGAAAAATACTCTTTGAATAGTAACACAGGGGCTCTAACAACCTCCTGAACAGGCAGACAAGACCTCAGTTTGTCTCATTATTACACTAATATACAAGATTTATGTTACCAAGTGAAATAAAGAAGTGAGTCAGCATCAAGCACCTTGTTTAATCCAGAATATTAGCTATTCATAACCTTGCAATTTAAAGTCGTCGGAGTGTGATTAATCTCCTTGCTTTCTGGGATCTGTAGCCAATTCTAAAAATTTTCTATGAGCTATTCCAGGAGAGGATTGCAGTATTTGCTAATGAGACAATTTCTGATCAGTCTACAATGGAGGATATTATACCAGTGCCGGGCTCTGAATTAGGCACGAAGGATGAGTCACCTACAAAACAGAGACGCTGCATACCTAGAATTACCAAAAAAAGCACACGGTTCAAAGAAAAGTAGATAACAAATATCAAAAGTGGACAGTGAGGAAGAAATTGGAAATTCAGCCTTTCACAATTATTAAGAGACTGTATAATCTTAGAACATGGTTAAATTCAGGCTATGATTGGAAGGCAGTTTTCTGCAGCTCTTTTTAAAGAACTGACTTCCAAATTAAAAATAAATTCAAGATCTGTTCAAATTCCAGCACCACCTTAGTTTGTAGACAAAGTTGCAATTTCATGAGCAATTTCAGAACTCCCAAAAGATCCGTACTAACTGTATATATAATTCAGTAAGGCACATTTCAAGACCCTCCTTTTTGACCACGCTTTTAGCCATATTCCTGCCCTCCCTGATCCCAACCCCCATGTTCAGGTCTAAATCCCTGACTGTCCAGGGCGTTGGGACGTCCTCCCAAAGTCAAAGGTTCTTTACAAATGTAATTTTGTATTGTATTGTAATTAACGTGAAGAGTGAGATTGAATGGTCTTTGCATTTGATATAAGCCTATAAGATTTAAACATTTCAAAATGCTTCACGGGTAATTGCTGTCAAGTATAGGGTCAGATTGCTGGCACTGCAATTGAATACAGAACTTTCTGCCACATGGAGCTGCAGAAACAGAAAACTGCTTGAAATCAGTTTCCACTTTTGAACCATTAAATGTAGGCAAATAAAAAATTAGTTTTCTAGAACCACTGCAAACAGTACTTTAAGCACACTAATACCTTCCCATGTACAGGCTGGTATTACCTCAAATACATCCTCCTGCACAATGATGCTTGTACATCTTCCAGAATACAGCTAAACAGCAAGCTGGCTGAACTTTAAACCACTAATGTCCCCACTATCTGGAGATTACCCCCTTGCTTTTTACCCCTTTGAAAAAACTACCTCTTCTGTCACACCTTTGTTCAATCCCTCCATCCTTTCCCAACTCCACTTCTCATCTTGATCTACAACAACAAGAACGACTTGAATTTATATAGCGCCCTTCACGCGAGGTAGCGTTCCGGAGCGCTTGACACTGGCGGAACTTGACCCCCAAACCAGGGGAAGAGGGAGGGGCATGATCAAAAAGGAAGCTCTTTAGGTGGGATTTGAAAGTGGGGAGGGGGCATGGCAGAGGGATTGAGGGAGAGAGTTCCAGAATTTTGGGCTGTAGTGGCTAAAGACACAGCCACCGGTGATGGAGCGGAGGGGATGAGGGACAAATATGAGTCCGGTGCCAGCTGAGCGAGGGAGTGGGGAGTAAGCAAATCGGATAGGTAGGGAGGTGAGAGGCATGCAGGGATTTGAAAATGAGCGAGAGGATCTTGAAATCTATCTTACTTTCCACTCCATCCCTATAAAGCACTTTGAGATGATAAACTATATGCAAGATGCCACACGTATATGCAAGCAAATTGTTTTCGTTGCTGTGTTGTAATGTTGGCCATATTATGCTTATAAAGTCACTTAAAGCTAAGAATATGTGGAGCACTATGTGTGACCACGTAGAAGTGGCAGAACACAAGTTCAATCCCCCATGAATAAGTAATTGTATTACTGTATTGTGATCAATAGTTTAAAAATAACTTGTTTTGAACTTTGCTCAACCTTTTATTGGTTCAGGAAATGTAATCTTTGTTTTGTACTTGGCTTCAAAGAGAGATGGTCAAAACTGGCAGCTTGCTCCTCATCACCAAACGGATCGACTTCAAGGTCCTCACACGTGTTCAAATCCATTCACTCGACTGGCACTGGCCTTCTACTCATCCCTTGCATGCTCCGCCCCACTGTCGGAGGTCGCGCTTTCGCCACTACGCCCTAAAACTCTGGAACACTCTTGCTCAATACCTCTGTCTTGCCCCCTCTCTCCCCTATTTCAAGTCCCGCCTGAAAACTTTCCTCTTCAACCATGCTTATGGCCAAAAGCTCAATAATGCTTGCCAAGCACTTGCCCCTTTAAAAATGGCGTCATCACTCCTATCCTTAAACAAACATCCCTGGACACATCTCTGCTTTCAAATTACCACCCTATCTCCAACCTTCCTTTCCTTTCCAAGGTCCTGGAATGAGTCGTTGCTTCCCAGCTTCGCTCCTTCCTCTCCCGCCACTCCCTTCACAAACCTCTCCAATCGAGTTTGTGTACCGCCCACAACACAGAAACAGCTTTGGTCAAAATGACAAATGACATTTTATCCATCTGCAATCAGGGCTCTGCCTCCTCGTCCTCCTTGACCTCCCTGCTGCCTTTGAAATTGTTGACCACTCTTTCCTCCTCTACCACTTCTCCTCTCACCTCAACCCTCACGTTTCTGTCCTTGACTGGTTCAGATCATACTTCTCACACCACCTCCACTTCATCTCCACAAATGGTTTCTGCTCTAGTCGCCACACCGTCATGTGCAGCGTTCCTCAGGGCTCTGTCCTTGGTACCCTCATCTTCAATATCAATATGCTCCCTCTTGGTGACTACATCCGAAGACATGGGGTCAACTTCCACACATATGTGGATGACACCCAACTGTACCTCTCTGCCTCCACCGCTGACTCCAGGACCACTGTTGTCCTGACCGAATGTCTGTCAGACATCAATTCCTGGATGAGAGCTAATTTTCTACAGCTGAACCTCATTAAGACCGAGGCTCTCCTGATTGGCTCCCATTATGGCCTCCACACCGCAGGCGCTGACAGCATCACTATCCAAGAATGCATACTCCACCTCACCAAGCCATCTGAGATCATAGTTTTCGGTCCTTCTTGTCTGGTAGCAGTGGCAGAGTCATGGTGGGCTAGAAGGACTGTGATAGTGGGAATAAGATACAGCAATAGGATACAAGGGAGGATAGTGACTGAAAGCTAATAGAGGTGAATGACAGATGTGTGAAAACAAAGACAGAAAGAAAATATTGTACTCAAGTAGGGCTGAAATGAAGAATAGCAAAAAATTGGCATCTTGTTTGACCCTCAACTGTCCAGCGCCTTGGGACGTCCTCCCGACATGAAAGACACTATACAAATATAATTTTGTTGTTGCCCCAATTGCACTCAGCATTCACAGCTGAAACAAAAAACTCTTAATTAACAGACAGAAAGAAATTATATCAGTTTATTTCTTCAACGATCACAATGGTGACAATCATTCTGAAGTCAACACAATTGGGTAAAAGGAAGATCAATTTGATAATTTCCCAGCTCAATGTTTACATTCAATTCATGGACTATGTGCTAATTCCCTTAGCAATCCAGTTCTATTATTGACTACAAGCAGGAGATGGGATGGAATCAAATGAACAAAGG